AAAATTAAAAAGGGGATTCTACGTCTACCTCGTTCTAGCGAGTCTCGGGAGGTTCACCTCGTGATTGCCAACCAACAGCTGGTTTTGGCTCCTCTCGCAAATCCCATCTTGAACCGAACGGGGTAGGAAATTTTGTACCGTAGTCCTCTTTGCTGCACCACGATGTCAAACTCTAAACAAACCCAAACATGCAATGTAGTGGTAGTGGCTCCATCTCTTGTATTTTCGTAGATCAACCTTGTCCTCGTTTAATTCTCGCTATCGTGCTCGTCCTCGTCTTCGTCCTGCTCCTCTTCCTCATCATTGTCGTCGTCAACGTTAATGAATGGCTGCTCAGGGTCGGTCCATTCATAGTCATTCTCCGAGGCGGCGTAGCACGTCCCGTCATCCTGGGAGAGCACCTTGCGCTGTTCTTCAATGGTGAGACACCAAAGTTGAACTCCCGTTCGCATGAAATGCTGGAGAAAAGTTCGACGTTTCGTGACAGAAGGGGTACGAGTCTTGTACACAGTGTCTTTCATGAAAGCCACTAGATTGGAAATGAGCGCGGAGCGACCTCCAATGTTGGTCTCGATGTCGAGTCCGCTCAGACCACGATCTTCGACCTGGTGGGTGGTAAGGAAGTCCGTGAACCAACGCTTCCCGACCATCTCGACTGTGAGGTTGCGACTGCTATCTTGAGCTGGACGGCATCGAACTAAAACACACAGGCTTGGTCGGTATCGAGAGACTTCGAGTGTCATTCCCGGCAGGATTGCTTTCTTGTTTGATCGTGACGGCAGTTCCAGCTCTAGTTGTCTTGGGGACCTTCTTGGAAGTGGCGGCTACGACTTCCACGACGCTGGTTTCGGAGACCGAGTCGTCTTTGTTGGATGCTGCTGAATTGTCGGCGACTGCAGCAGCTGAATTGGCGACCTGTGTGAACAGACCAGGCTGGTTGGTTATCATGGCGAGGAGCTTGTTTACGGCAGGGTCTTGTAGCAACGTTCCCCCGTCAACCTTGTCAGCAGGGTCGGCCTTTGAAACAGGGGTAACCGCGGTTGGCGTCAAGGTAGCTTGCTTCTTCCCAGCCGCTTTCTTCACGGTAGCCTTCTTTGGAGCTGGCTTCTTCGGAGGAGCTTCAGCAGCAACTGGAACTTGCTTGGGAGTACACACAAGCACCTTGCGACGGTTCTTCTTGTTTTGCTTTGTTTGTTCTTTCCGGTGCGCTTCATGGTCGAGCTCAAGATGGAGTAGATATGCAACGGATAATAAAATGCAGGGTGTGTGCAGCTCTTGGTCGTAGCAGTCCTTCTCTTGTAGGTCCACTTCGATTTTGTGAAGCCCTCAAATCAAGTTGTCTTGTTGCATTTTTTTCGAGCTCCTCTGGAGCGAAATAGCTTATTCTTTTGTGTCATCCCATGTCTACATCGTACTGCACATCGGCCTCCGTTCGCAACTTTGGTCTTTTTCAGCCATTAACACGTGGCATTTGGCCTCCGTGGTTTCAACGAGAGAGTAAAATGGCGCAATACCAGCCCCCCCGGCAATCAAGAGAAGGTTCTTGGCGTGCTGTAGTGAGGGCGCAATGACTGGAGCCATTGGACCACTGAGCAACAGAGACTGGCCCTCTTTCATCTGTTGGACCATGTACGTAGAAAGAAGTCCTCTAGAAGCATGTCGAACAATGAAGGTGCCGAATCCAGCTTCAAGCGAGATGATTGGAGAGTAGGGTCTTGGCCTGATCATGTCTGCCTTTCGAAGGTTTACGTGCCCAAGTTGCTCAATGAGCAAACCAGAATTGGCATCAGGGAGACTAAAGCGCATCTTCACAGCATCGGTAGCTATTGCTTCCTTTTCGACTAATGTGATGGGCAACTCTTCTTTCAAGTTGCAGATGACCATCAAAGGCCGCTTGTCTTCCGTGCCACCGACTGATGGAATTCGGATACTGGTCTGGGCCAAGCTAACTGTTTGCTGGCTGTGCTGCAAGCCAGTAGCCCAGAGCCAGAGCTCGGCAGCAAAGATGCCTGCGACAAGCATGACAACAGCGAACTGCACTGCGAAGAAGTAGGAGTCGTAGAGTGTGGTGATGCCTCTGCATGCAAAAGACATTTGTTCAGTGCTGAGATAGGCGGTCTCACCTGAGATATACATGATCTCGGCGTATTTCACACCTGCGAGATCCTCGCAAGCGGCATCATAAAAAGGTCCAACGTAGTATGCCTGATCTTTGAAGATGATCTCAACGAGAACATTGAATATTCTTCCCAAGATCACGCTGTTGCCAACAAACATGTGGCGGACCATCCATCGCCGGTGTGAATCGATATCTCGTTTGATACCGTAATAACATCCCAAGCCCAATGAGACGTTCCAATACGCGGCGAAGATTGCGCTGATGAAGATACCACCGATTGCCGATTGATGGGGGGCCAGCAGGAGGATGAAAAGTCCAACTGATGCAAGAACTGTCGAGGCAACACAAAGCCAACCGTTGGCCCGATGAATCCCAAACGCCATACGTCGGATGGGACCAACCAACTGGATCACCCCGGAGATGAGCCAGAGAGAACTGAAAATCACATGGATTAAGATGCCCACGCGGCTGAGTGGAAATGCAAAGTAGAACTGGTACCCCAATCCGTTCATGCCGACCAAGTAGACAAGGCCCCACATACTGAATGCAAGCATTCCAATCCAGCCAACGACGCGGGTGATGCGCACAACCATGGTTCGAGCTTTTGGCATCGAGTTTCGAGTCAACATCAAGAACATCAAGCTAGCTGTCAAGAACGTCCACACCCCCAGATTGACCCAGCCCGGAAGGATTGTCCAAAAAACGTTGGATGTACCTGGTCGGAACTCGTAGAGATCTCCTGAAGCAAGGTTGTTCGTTTTGAAGCTGTAGTAGCCGCATTCACAGCAGCCGGCGAGATTCAAGGGGCAATTCGTGAATTCCTTGATCATCATATCCTCGCATGTCTGCCGACACAGCGACAGCTCCAGCTTGCCATCGGGGCAAACGCCTTGTGCTACGTCGGCGGGCAACACGCTGTCCACGAAGCACAAGTTCCGAAGAGCTTCTTGTGGAAGCTCTGCAGAGACGGTATAATACAACGTGTCAGTATCGATGTCAACCACACCGCCCTCGAAGAAGTCAAGATCTAGAGCAGGGGTCTGCGCAAATGGACCACCGGGGCCACCTGTGGTACCTGGGCCGCCTGGGCTTGCAAAGCCACTTGGTGGGCCGTTTTGTCCCGGGGTCACGTCGTCCACCTCACCCCCAAAGACGCCCAAGCGTTGCGAATCCACCCGATTCGCCCTATCAGCCTCAACACCATCTTGTCCAGCTTCAGACACTGCTGATTCATTCCATGGAGTTACATTGTCTTGAGCCCTGCTGCCATTGCCAAGCGCTGCAATGATCAGGAGCAGCTTCGTGGTTTCATTGAATAGTTTCATCTTTTGATTGATTTTGAGTGGGGAACTTCCGGTTTTGTGAGGGGGGTAGACGCTCTGGTGCTCCAGTATGTTGTACTCACCCTTGCATCTCCCAAGGGCCTAAACTGCATGCCCACACGAGTGGACAGATACCATTATCGAACCCTGGCGAACTAGCTACGGTAGTAGAGGTAGCAAAGATACTAAAGTGATCAAGGTTGTGTTTTCATGAGGTGACAACATACATTGTAGTCTAATGGGAAGTGAGGAGTGCTACTAGCTAGCTACAGTGCTGTAGATCTCAAAAGATTCGTCGCGTCGAAGCAAATCGTGCTTCTGCTCAACTTTCGCACTCCAAGATTGGAAACTGCACCTGGTTCACAACAAGCAAAACACGAAAGCGGTTATCAAACCTCATCAAAATACATGCACCCGCTACCTTGCCATACCGGTACCAACCTTGTATTTCTAACTCCTGCAGTCAGCATTGACCACGACATACGTGTACTCATCCGTCAAGTCACTGTCCAAGACAATGGCATAACCATTGCCTGTTCCAGCTCCAAAGCGACCCCAATTCCTTTTAGGGTGGATCTAGCTAGATTGCGAAGAAGTCGTCTCTGCTTTCAATTCGAGCTGTCAGCTCGCCCAAATCAACTAATTAAACTTGATACCGTACTGTATTCCTAGCTAGTAGCTGCAGTGCTATCAACGACACTCGGTATTAGATGTAACAGTACTAGCAGAAATGTCTCGGTATGGGTCGTCCGGAGCCGAATCAAAAAGATCGTCGCCTGTGTGGTCGTCCGAATGAGTGAGTCTCAGCCTTTGACGTTGATCGAGTTGTTGGCATTGTGAGCCTGAGTGTCAAGCAACCAAGCAGTCCATGGAAAATAAAAAAGCTGAAAGGAAAAGCCCGTTTGTTTGAATTCGAATCAAGCCCCAATTCTCAATACCCAAGTGGAAGACCAATCTGGCTAGCTGGCTCCAACGTTGACAAGGCTCTTGAGGAGAATATGGCAGCTGGGCTGCACTTGACTAGCTAGAGAGCTTGGAGAGACAGGGGAATGCTACCGGTACTACTAGCTACAGTAGTACAGAAGAATATCCCAAGCCTGTGGCTGGAGTGTCCCAGGCTCGAGGAGTTTTTTGACCGATTTCTTTCACCTTGGTCGCTCACCTTGGAGTGAGCTTTTGAACTCTGCTTGTGCTCGCTGGCAGCTCACCCTTTCGCAAGATTCGTTTCTCGGAATGGGGGCATTTGCTCGTGTCTTCAAAGTGTCGTCCCGCGGACAGGAAGGCGGCCGCAGTAGCTTCATGGCTCTCAAGCTGGTTTTGTCGGGAGATAGAGGTGAAAGACTTTTCGAGTTACTAAAAGAAAAAGAATTCCTCGATGCAGCAGCTCAACTTCGTCCGCAGGCTGTTGTTCATACACGAGAATTTCACAGCTTCGAACAATGCGGCGCCGCATTGCTCCTTGCACACGTGGGAACGTTCCAAGAGCATTATGGCGGCAGGTTTTTGTTACCCTTGGAAGCCTTCATGAGGTCAACATTGTGCATGGTGATTCTCGTATCAGAAATTGCATTCTTGTGGAGGGCTTGGCCCGTTGGATCGACTTTAGAACGTCAGCTGTCGTAACTGACCCGAAGGAAATCTGGCCAAAACGACGCGACATGGAGACACTTTTGAAGTCTTGTTTTCACGAGGAAGGAAGGTCTCTCTCTACTCATGTTGAACACTGGGTCGAGCGATACATTGGAACGAGTGACTCGGCTGGTGCAACTTTCGACGCTTTTGCCGCCGAGAGAACCGGGCAGCATGCATTCCTTGGATCTCTTAATTAAAACAGAGCAGCCTAAAAGGCTCATCGATCATCCCTTCCAATCGCAAACTTGGGATGCCTTTCCTGCGGATTTTGTTCTTGACGGCATGCGGCATGCAATGTTAAAAGCGGGTAGGCCACAAACGACGCAAGCAGTTGGCACTTCGCTTTCCGTGCCAAGGAGAGTCTCCAGTCGCTGATGAGACTCTTGCGACCAATGCAGACCTCGGAAGTAACGTTTTCATTCATCAGCTGGATACCAATGGTGCGACTTTGGCCTTTTTCAGCCATTAGTACGTGGCATGCGCCATCCATGGTTTCTTGGTTCTTGGGTTCCTTCGGTCTCTTTTAAGAGGAGCAGCCTAAAGGCTCATCGATCATCCGTCCCAATGGCAAAACTTGGGATGCCTTTCCTGCGGATTTTGGTCTTGACGGCAATGTTGAAGGCGGGTGGGCCACAAATGACACAAACGGTTGGCACTTCGCTTTACATGCCAAGGAGAGTGTCCAGTCGCTGATGAAGACTCTTGCGACCAATGCATACCTCGGAAGTAACATTTTCATTCATCGGCTGGATACCAATGGTGCGACTTTGGTCTTTTTCAGCCATTAACACGTGGCATTTGGCCTCCGTGGTTTCAACGAGAGAGTAAAATGGCGCAATACCAGCCCCCCCGGCAATCAAGAGAAGGTTCTTGGCGTGCTGTAGTGAGGGCGCAATGACTGGAGCCATTGGACCACTGAGCAACAGAGACTGGCCCTCTTTCATCTGGTGGACCATGTACGTAGAAAGAAGTCCTCTAGGAGCATGTCGAACAATGAAGGTGACGAATCCAGCTTCAAGCGAGATGACTGGAGAGTAGGGCCGTGGCCTGAT